AAAAAAAAAAGCTCAGGGTTCCTAATATCAGAACCCAAGACCGATTCCCTTAAACGTTATTCTCCTCTTGTGGAGAAAGGAGTCAGAACTCAGGGCAGGTGATTTATCTAATTTCAGATATTCCTATTTCATATTATGGTTTTCTCTAGCCAATGTTCACTACCTTTCACCTCCTTATTCATCTTCCCAAGCTTGTCTTTTCCCATATATTCCTTATCTCCTTACTTTCCACAGAGCCAACATCAATCTCTTCCCTCCATCCTTATTTTCACTACCTTAAAGAAAATTTGTAACTTTTAAAATGTATTGTTAATATCACATGACACCTGGGCATGATTGTACACACCTATAATCCCAAGCACTCTGGGAAGCTAAGGCCAGAGGATTGAAAATTCAAGCCCAACTCTGGCCATTTAGCAAGGTGACCTAGGGCCAGGGATATAGCTCAGCGGCAGGAGTGCCTGCCTGGCAATCAGAAGGTCTCGAGTGTGACTCCTGGTACATAAAAATAAGTGCAATTTAGCAAAATTTTGTCTTAAACTTTTAAAAATGCAAAAAAGGCCAGGGGTGTAGCTCAGTACAGAGGCCCAAGGTTAAACCCCCAGTGCTGCAAAAACAAAGAGCAGCACATGTGGGCTGGGAATGAAGCTGTGGAAGAAGATGCAGAGTCGGAAGAGGAAGAGGAAGAAGATGTAAAACCCCTAAGTATATCTGGAAAGTATCTGCCCCTGGAGGTGGCAGCAAGTTTCCACAGAAAAAAGTAAAACTCGCTGCTGATGAAGACGACGAGGACGATGAGGATGAAGATGAGGGTGATGAGGCTGATGATTTTGATGATGAAGAAACTGAAGAGAAAGCTCCAGTGAAGAAATCAATATGAGATACTCCAGCCAAAAATGCACAAAAATCAAACCAGAATGGAAAAGACTCAAAACCATCAACACCAAGATCAAAGGGGCAGGGGCTGGTGAGATGGCTCAGTGGTCTAAAGCACCTACTTAGAACAAGCTTAGCAAAGCACAGGGACCGCGGTTCAATCCCCCAGCACCACATGCCAGCCAGCCCCGCCCCCTGGTGGGCTGAGCTGGCCACACACACACACACACACACACACACACACACACAAAAAAAATAAAAAAAAAAAGATCAAAGGGGCAGGAATCCTTCAAGAAACAGGAGAAGAGTCCTAAAACACTGAAAGGACCTAGTTCTGTAGAAGACATTAAAGCAAAAACACAATCAGGTATAGAAAAAGGTGGTTCTCTTCCCAAAACGGAAGCCAAATTCATCAATTATGTAAAGAATTGCTTCCTGATGCCTGACCAGAGGCTATTCAAGACCTCTGGCAGTGGAAGAAGTCTCTTTAAGAAAACAGTTTAAACAATTTGTTAAAGTTTTCCATCTTCTTTCATTTCTATAACAGTTGCTATCTGGCTAGCCTTTTTATAATGCAAAGTGAGAACTGTCCCTACCGTGTTTGATAAATGTTGTCCAGGTCCCATTGCCAAGAATGTGTTGTCTGAAATGCCTGTTTAGCTTTTAAAGATGGAACGCCACTCTTTACTTGGTTTTAAGTATGTATGGAATGTTATGATAAGCCATAGTAGTAGTGGTGGTCAGACATGGAGATGGAAGGGAGACAAACATACATGTGAAATAAACTCAGTATTTTAATAAAGTTAAAAAAAAAAAACCCAAAGTGAACATTCTGGTTAGCATCATGCATGCACTAAATAAACAAGCCCCCTACAGGGTAATTGCTGTTATGACTACTTCTGTAATAGTTGTGGCTTTTTTTTTTTTTTTTTTTTTTTTTTTTTTTTTTTTTTTGTGGTACTGGGCCTGCACTTGCCAGGCAAGCGCTTATTCTACTGAGCTATCTCCCTGGGCTTTTTATAATTGTTAATATCCAAGTGTTCTTAAACACTATAGTTTTGACTGTTCCTTAAAATTTATTATTATTATTATTATCATTATTTAATAATACTGGGGAATGAACCCAGGGTGTTCACACTGAGCTACATTTCCAACCCTTTTTAAATTTTGAGGCAAGATCTTGCTAAGTCTTAGTTGCCCAGGCCGGGCTTAAACTTGTGATCCTCTTGCCTTAGCCTAGAAGAGTGCTAGGACTGCAGACTTGAACCAGCATACCACATCCTGTTCCTTAAACTTTATGTAAATAAAATCACATGGCATTATTTTGTGTAAGTGTCTCTCTTATTCACCCAGTACTAGCAATTTAAGGGCCTTTGCACAAAGACCTGAGCTACATACCCAGACCTTTTTTTTTTTTTTTTAATTTTAAAATAGGGTCTTGCTAAATTGCCCAAGCTGTGTTTGAACTTGTGCTCCTCCTTCCTCAGGCTCCCAGAATGCTGAATTACAGGAATGCACCATCCTGTCTGGCTCTCTGTGGTTTCTTTTGCTAAATAACACATTTGCAGCTCATAGATGTTACAGGCAGCTGTCGTGAGTTCATTTTCATGGCTAGAGTGCAAGGGAGCTCAGGGAAGGCTGCCTGGGAGAGGTAACATCAGGCTGAGCCTGAACACTGGTGTGTTGGATGAAGGGTACTTAAACCTCCCATCCCAGAGACCCTCTCCAAGCTGGCCTACAGGTTTTCCAGCTGTGTTTCTCTTTTAGTCTTTAATCCACTGCAGTGCCAGGAATCTCTTGCAAATCTGGACTCTTCTGCCCCAGGCTGGGTCAGGCTCCCGCTTCTATACTCCCACAGCGGTCTTTGCTCATGGTGCGTGCCCGTTTCTGTTGTGATTTAGACTGAGCGCTGCTTCAGGGCAGGGGCAGGAGCTTGCTCATCTCGGAGCTCCTGCCCAGCACTGTGCATTTTCATTGAACACAGTCAAGACACACTGGGCAAACCCATTTCTACCCCAGGCTCTGGTTCCTAGGGTGAAAACCCCAAAGCGGGGCCCTCTGGGGTGGCATGGAGAACATGGGCCGCCTGCCCTGGCAGTGTCTCTTCCACCAGCCTGGAGTCCTCTGCTCTCAAGTTGGGAGTAACCCATAGAGCAGACAGCTTGGGGCTTTTAAATACGCCAGCAACTTTGGACTAAAAAGCCTCTCTGGACAGTGGTTCTGGGAGAGGCGATTGAGAGATAAGCAGAGCTTCTGCAGCTGGACCACAGCTGGCTTCTTTCCTTTATTTTTTTAAAAGTCAGGAATGTATTTTATTTATTTTAAAATAAACATTGAGGATTCCCCATTACCCACCACCCAACAAAACTTTTGAATGTGGAACGTTCAACAGCCTGTCCATTTTAATAGGTTTTACAAAACCAGGAAAAATTCCGGCTGTCTCATGATGAATAGTTGTTGTTTTGTTGTGTTTTGCTTTGAAGTAGCTGAGTACCTACTGGACAGTTTCCTTAGCTAGAAGCTAAAAATAAACTTTTAAGATTTGTAAAGAAAATACCATTAACTTAATAGCCTTTGCTTAATACATGGGATTAATTCTCCATGAAGCCAAGACAGTGTGGGACAGCAGGCAGCACTGAGCTCACAGGCACTCAGAACTGGCTCTCAAACTGTGTGTTCAAACTCCAGCATCACACATCTGGCTAAGTTACTACTAAACCATCCATTTCTGTGGAACTTGAGACTCTTCCTACGCATCCAACAGCTTCCCTTTAGAAAGGCGCTGTGCTAGGCTTACTGTTCTTTTTTTTTTCTGGTACCAGGGCTTGAACTCAGGACCTTTGCTTGCCAAGCAAGCACCTATTCTACTGAGCTAACTCCCCGGCCCTTTGGTTTACTGTTCTGTCACTGTTTGTTTTTCCCTAGTACTGAGGATCAATACCACATAAGCTCAGCAAGTGCTCTACTACTGAGCTATACTTCCAACCCATCATCTTTTTTTTTTTTTTTTTTTTTGGCAGAACTGGGGATTGAACTCAGGACCTTGCACATGCCAGGCAAGAGCTTATTCTATTGAACTATCTCCCCAGCCCCTCCCATCACCATTTTCAATAAAAATGCCACATTTGGCACCAAGTGTCCTCAGTTACGTAGCCATTCCTCCTAGGAGCTGGCTGCCTGGGCCTCAGAGAACTCCAATCTCAACTCTGGACAAAAGCGAGCCTTCACATTAAAGTAGCTCTGTGAACACACTGCCCTAAGTAGAACAGATTTTGATGTTTTCAACACAAATGATAAACTTTTTCTTTCTTTCTTTTTTATTTTTTTGCAGAACTGGTTATTGAACTCAGGCACTTGTGCTTGCCAGGGGAGCACTTATTCTACTGAGCCATCTCCCCGGCCCATCGATAAACATTTGATGTGATGGGCATGGTGATTACCTGATGTAATTATCACATACCGTGTACACCCATGAAGTGTCACACAGTACCCATAAGTGTACAACTCTTATGTCAGTTAAAAATGTACTTTAAAAACCTTACCAGTTGGGGTTAAGGAGATGGCTCAGTGGAATAAGCGCTTCCCTATCAAACACGAGGGCCTGAGTTCAATCCCTGGTTCTGCAAAAATAAAAAATAAATAAATAAAAATAAAAACCTTACATGTGGGCCAGGGCTATAGCTCAGTGGCATAAGCACCTGCCTGGCAAGCACAAGGTCCTGAGTTTGATTCCTGGTACCTAAAAAAAACTTACATGGTACCACCAAAAAAAAAAAAAAGAAAGAAAGAAAGAAAGAAAGAAAAAAAGAAAGAAAGAAAAGAAAAGAAAAAAAAATTAGGGGGCTGGGGAGATAGCTCAGTAGAATAGGCACTTGCCTGGCAAGTGCAAAGTCCTGAGTTCAATCCCCAGTATTGGAGATGGCTCAGTAAAATAAGTGCTTGCCTGGCAAGTGCAAGGGTCTGAGTTCAACCCCTGGTTCCACCAAAAAAAAGAAAAAACAAACAAAAAAACTTACATGTTTTAGTTGTCAAATATCTTAATTTCTTTCTTTCTTTCTTTCTTTCTTTCTTTTCTTTATTTTTTTATTTTTTTTTTTTTCTTTTGGCGGAACTGAGGATTGAACTCAGACCCTTGTGCTTGCCAGGGAAGTGCTTATTCTACTGAGCCATCTTCCTGGCCCTCAAATATCTTAATTTCACTGAGTGTGCTGGTACATACCTATAACCCCAGTACTTAGGAGGCCTCAGGCAGGAGGATTGTTGTGAGTTAGAGACTAGCCTCAAAGTGAGCTCAAGGCCAGCCTGAACTCCATAGGGAGACCCTGTCTCAAAAAAAAAAAAAAAAAAAAAAAAAAAAGAAAAGAAAAAAGAAAAAAGCCTGCATCTCCCAGTTCTCTGCCACTATTGCCAGAGTGGCCAAGAGGCCTTGGCATGGTGTGGGGTGGGGGCTCCAGCTGCTCAGGCCCTCTCTCTGAAGCCTAAACCACACCAAGGCAATTTCCAAGACACATTGCCAGGAAGGCTATGGAGGGGAGGCCTCCACCCAAAGTTTGCTTCCCACAGGGAGTGGCTCTGTGGCCACCAGGACCACATGAGAAGCTGTTTAGGCCAAGAATAGAGGAGAAGTATTGGACATGTCCTTGGCCTTCCTGGCTCTGGTCTCCCTGGTCTGAAGGGGGATCACATTCCCTGCATTTCTCACTTGGCAGGGCTTAG